TCTTTTTTAGAATTTAAGAATATTTAGTCAGCATATTTGGTAGAGCACTTTTAATGAGGCTTTAGATAACTGTCAGCTTACATGAAAACCAGAATACAATCACTTCCCTAAATGCCACAAACGACGTTAAACCAAGAGAGCAGGTTGTCCAAGTTGATATCAAAGATGGGGCCAGATATCTTCCTCTCTACACCTGACAAGAAGAGTGACAACAGCAGCGCTGCGACTGGTGGCCGGAGGCTTTATAGCAGCTGCAACTGATTCAAAGGAGTAGTATGTAGCTGCAGTACCAGAGACTGCAGTTTCAGGACCGCAATCCAAGGACCAGAACTGCATTTGTAGGACCCTTGTTTACTTTGATACTGCCAGCTAGCTGGCTGGCTAGCTAGCTGGCTACACTACTCTTGACAGCCCTCCGAAGCCAATTACCCTTACCCCAACCATCACAGAGTGTGTGCCTACACCTTAGCAAAAGAACTGTGGTCCCAGGATTGCGGGAATCCTGAAGCTTTCAGTAACATTACTGCAGCTATATAATATTGAATCAAAGGAGAGTTTCATTTATACAGGAAAAAAGGTTTTAATCAAATAATGGGCTTTTTAAATTAGAAAAATGGATTAGAAATGTCCATTATTATCCTTACCATTAGAGCAGGGTAGCATGCATCTAAAAATATAATCATACAAGTCCACCTTAATATTAACATATTTATTCCTTACAACAACTATAACTAAACCATAGTTGTATGATGAGGTGTTTTTAAGAATTATAGCTCAGATAGTTACTATAGTATATCAACAACAGGCATTCCTATAAGTAAAGAAATATGTGCACATACGTAAAATATTTATGGCCATGTGTTATTGGTCATTTCAGTGAATATATAATTGGAAGGACTTGGCAGAGGTGAGTAAAGACAAGACTGAGTCGTGGTAGGTGGTGGCGCTAGGGGTCAGAGACCACAGAGACCACTAACAAATGAACTCGCTGTCTCTTAAAACCAGTGAGCAGGTTAGAAATAAATCCTGGATTCAGAACTCCACAAGCTACATTGTGTATTAAGCATAAGCATATTTACCACCTAAATTTTTTCCAATCCATCTTATCTCAACCAGATGCTGAAAAATGGCTTCACGCATTCATCTCCTCTGGGCCTGACTACTGTAATGCCCTTTTTGCCAGACCTCCTAAAAAGATTGTGGGATGACTCCAGCTCATTCAAAATGCTCCAGCCAGAGTGCTCACTGGTCTCCTAACTGTACCCTTGATCAGTAAATCTGTTGAAGGTGCATTCAGTTAATATGGGCCCACTCTATGGAACAAACTGCCTGATGATATAAGATGTGCCACAACTGTGCTGTCTTTTAAAAACAGGCGTTAGGACCTACCTGTTCTCTCAGGCCTACGACTAGTGCACCCATCTCTCTGTCTGTCCATTTGTCTCTCTCTCTGTGGGTTTGTGTTGGTGGCTGGGCAGAGGACTGATTTATTTTATGAATGTTTTTCTTTTATTATAGGTCTTTAAATATACATTCATTTATTTTATTTTGTTTATATTTGTTGTGTGTGGAGTGGACTGAGCTGACATTGTATGAAATGCCCTATATAATTACATTTGACTTGACTATATAGTCTCAGCTGTTTTTCTCCTCTAACAACTGCAAGTCATGAAATTGAGTCCATGGGGTTTAAATTTGGATGCTCTTGGAAAACCAGTTCAAACTACCAATTAAGCCTGTCCATCAGTATCATGGACTGCATAAACTGCCACTGTTTCTCCTCTATAATCATCACAGAACTTGGCTTCATGCCCCCACTTCCAGTCAATAGAAATAATGAGCAAAATTAGGGGATGTCGCTGCCAATAATGATAATTAATGCCCCATAAACATTTGCAACCCAACATGGTCTACTTAGATAGGTCTATCGAAGGCCAACTCAGAGGTGGTTACACACAAATGCACAGAACAATGCAGATGATAACACTGGTGTTTTTAAAATGGGGGTAAGCAAGGACAGCATACAGTTTAATAAATAATACATTTACAGGTTAATAAACAGACAGGGTGGATTATTAATCTTCAGATGGATACAGATGACATAGTGTAACAGGTGGTGTCGCAGAGAGTCTAGATGCTCTGACGACGAAGGATCACTATGGAGTCGCCTGTTGTCACAGTCCACAAGGCCGAGCAGGTCATCGGTGAGCTGGTTAACTTCCAGGCAAATGACACTTGCTCAGATGATAACAGCTTACTTGTCACAGTTTTGACATTGTGTTTAAAAATGAAATGCTGTAAAATGTGAAAATGAAAAGGATTTAATGAATTCTGATGTGTTTAATTCAGAATTTGTTGTGCGTGTATATATATATATATATATATATATATATATAAAATCATTATAGTGAACTATTGTACCCCTTTTAAAATGTCTATTTTTGTACTGTTAAATAAAGGTACAAAATTGTCAGGTACAAGACTGGTCTCTATAAGGTACAAACCAAAATGGTACAAATATGTACCCTATGCCAAGGGTACAAATTGACAAGCCATTGTAGCCCTAGAGGTATAATTATGTACTTTATTATTTGGGAGTGTATCTGGCCTCTGAAGATCATTATTGTTTATTTGAAAGTGACTTGGATCAAATCAACACATTAACCACCTGCTGTCTCAGTAGACCATAAAGATGGGCTGAAGTGAAAGCTTCCTTTTTTGATTTTGTTTGCTGAATGCACCTCAGCCTTTTTTATCCCAATGTGAAAGGAGAGGTATGATTAGAGCAACTCTCCAAATGGCCTTCAGTGGCCGGATGTGAGAATATTTGCTTAATACCAAAGGAAACTAAACAGATATGAGTCAGCAGAGCAAATATTAGTAAGTCCTGCTTTGCTGCTGTCACAGTACTTTAGTTTTGCTCTTCTATGTATGGCTTGGTTTGGGAGTAGACATTTTAATTTCAGATAATCGGGATAAATCTGCTGCCTTTCTGTTTGTGGGAAATTCTTTATTACGGTAACACATTGAAATTTAAGCTGTTAAAACGCAGTGTACCTGCTTTCCTGAGGTACCATATACTACTTTATGCTTACTACAATTCAGAGGAAAATACAATTTTTACTCCACTATATTTATTTTACTATATATACATTTATTCTGCCAGAATTATTTATTTTTCGGATATAGATTTTACACAAAGAAAAATATGAATGTGAAAATATGATATAAAACACCAGTAATAATAATTAATATCAGTGGTTTCCAGTATTTTGGGCTTGACAGCTTTTGTGGCCCTTCATCACATTTCAGATGCAGTTCTACCAATGACACTCTAAACTTCTCACATGGTTTCATTTAAATTATTTAAATGTCCAAAGAGTTACAATTGTCTTGTTCTAAAAGTCTGACCAAAGTCCAAAACAGATATGTGGTTCTTCTTTGTTCTTAATTAAGTAAAAATGGTACTACCACAGTATAAAAATATTCTCTATAAAGTCATTCATTCAAATGTGTACTTAAGTAGAAGTAACGTGTATTAGCATCAAAATCTACTTAAAGTAATGGGATCAAAATAATTATTCATGCATTAATGTGTTCATCACTTTAATGTTGAAGCTGGAAAAGGTGGAGCTCATTTCAATGACTTCCATCTTTCTGGTTAGCTTGTGAATATTAATATGAAGGATTAAATCAAACAACCCAGCATGTGCCAGGGTTGAGAGTCTAAGTGTTTCAAGAACTGTTTGCTCTACTTGTTTTTTTTAATGCTGAACAGCTTGTGTGCAGCAACATGGGTTCACCACTCAAAAGAACCTCCAGCCAATGACATGACATGCTTGTGGCTGTAAATGTGGCTGAGTGATTAAAAAAAAAAAAAGAAAATACGGCCATAAAAAGCAGACACAGTTGTAGCAGACAAGCTGTCAACTGACGGCCGACACTGGCACACAGAGGCGTGAAGGAATGCACAAGCAGTTGTAACTTGTCGATTGAAGTGCATCCCGGAGAGTCAGGCAGCTTGTCAGCCTACTGTAAGCCAAAGTTATTGTAAGTGTCCAGAAGTTTGGGTTCATATTTTGTGATCCTGACAGCTGTTCTTCCAAACTCCAGTAAATAACTGCCTTCAGTCAATACAGACAAACCATACTGTACATGTGTCACAAGGTCTGAGGTCTCATTTTCAAGGGGGAGAGAGACAGACACCTGGTTTAACAGAGGTCACTCCATGTCTTTAAAAAGTGCATTTATACACATCTAAATATGTCGATACACTTTGAAGACGAGTGAAACGTCAGCTCCTCTAAAATCTACTCTTGTCATGACAACATAGAGGTGATGTGTGAATGTTACCATGTATGTGCAACATACTGAAGAAAACAGGATCAGGATCAAATAGTTCCAGAGTGATCACTCTTCATGGTTCTGGATTATAGCTTACAGTTAAATTCTAAATAAAGCCCAGCATATTCACAACCATTTTAAAAAGATGGCTTTGATTTTATGGTCTGCACAATGCTGGTAGCAATGTTTTGAAAAATACTTCCTGCCTTCATTACACAGGTTGTTTGAAGTGATCAGTGTTACCGGAAATTGGTATTACTTCAGGAAATTAGTCCAAAATTGCATCATTAAAAACCCCATTTCAAAGCAGCTAAAACTGAGTTTCCTATTTTTGTATATTTATTATTTTGGCCACATGCTGTATGCTTTGGAGTTTGTATCTCCATGATAATGAAAGTTTAATAAGCTGCATAATAGCAGCTGAATTAGCACAGCGGGATGAAATACGGGTTTGTTTCCTGACCAGATCTCAGGTTTGACTCAGTCCATTCATGTCAGTGTGACTTTGAGCAGAACCTCTACTTACCCTGACGACTGTCGGTCGCTCTGTCCAGCAGCTTAATGTCTCAAATGAAAGGGCATGTTTCACTGATATGTAATGTCAATACTAATGTCAGTAATAAGATATTGTTGTGCAAGAAAAAAGAAAATCAACATCAGGCAAAACATTTGTTTATTTGGCCTAAAAGGGCCATAAATAAAATTTTATTCTCTCGATTTATTAACAAGCCACAGGAAGTCCATGGCTGTCTACCACAGCACTTAAAACATCTCATTCTGGCACAGTCCACAAAGACATGAGGCCCATTTGAGATACTCTGAGCCGCGGATAAATCTGAAGGCTCTCTTCCTTACTTCCTTAGAAAAATAAAACAAAACATGGTAATACTGTACCAAACTGGAGGCTGAGCAGCAGGGTGATCCTTTTCACGCAGAGAGGGATGCTTTAGGAAGGGTTAGGAGTGTGGTCGGGGAAGCTTGAATCAAACAGCAACAACAACAATAATAATCTATGAAAAACCCTCAAACTCTTTTTTTTTTTTTTTTTTTTGCAATGCTGAAGCAGAATGTGCTTGGCTCTCAACCACTGCATGATTGCCACTGTTTTTCCATCAACTTCTCCTCTCTCATTTCTTTATTCCCTCCCAACAGTCCATCCTCTCCTCCTCCTTCCTCCGTTGTGTTTTGCTTAAAATAAAATTGAAATAGTATTTATAATGATAAAACCTATAGCAGCAAAAGAGTAACAGAGGAATAACAGCTAGAAGCGAGTGACCCCTGGATTTATAAAGGAAGGCATGGGTTAAGAGAGGTCCATGGATTTCTGCCCTGTGATCAGGGAGAGGTGTCTGGCCGTCCCTTCCGAGCTCATCTTCCCTCGGTGGGCACCCTGCAGATGGCGGCCATGATGCGGCTGAATCGCTCACACAGCTCCAGGGTGGAGTAGGAGGGCAGCTTGGGAGGGTCGTGGAAGCTTTTGATCTCCGTCGAGCAGTCCAGTAACTTGGGGAGGAAGTCGGTCAGCTTTTCCTGGAGGTTGGCTGCCAGCAGGAGGAGGACAGACAGAAAGATAATAAGTGATTAACTTGCATCACAATGTAGTGAAAAATCAGATTCTTAAGACAGAAATCACAGGGTAAATATTTTCAATGTGATATCACAAGTAGCTTAAAAGCATGTTCCACATCAGACACAGATTGTAGAGCTCCAGTGGACAGAGGTCTGGGTGATAATACTCAGCTTTCCCTGAACAAAGGCCAGGAACTCTGAGAACAGGCTCTGTGAGGAGTGGACTGATACTGGAACATACTGATAAAATACTGAATCCTCTCCAAACCTATTTTTCTACCAGGAGATTATTTTCAGGAGCATCCTCTGAACATTTCTAAATCTGACAGACATTCTGATTTTCGTTTCAGCTCTCCCTGTATGCCATTGAATCTATTTAGGCCATTTCTGAAGAAAACTGGTATACGCTGATGTGATGATATACTGACAGTGAGTCAAAGGGCCAACCAAATTTAGAGTCACATGCATGTTGGCAATACTACTGTAACTGTGTGTTGACATACAAGGCGACAAGAGCATTTCGCGTGGCTTGTTTACATACAAAGTCAAATTCGTTCCGAACAGTATGGATAACGCGCTTGTTTTGACAGTTTGCTGGTTCGCGCGAAAATTTTTCAGTTTGAGCGTGAAATTCGCATGAAGCTATGTTGCGAAAGCCTATCAGGGGTGACATTGTCCGGACGACTTCAGACCATTGTTTGAAGAGGACCACGGAGAGCGGAGGAGTGAAATGCTGTTAAACTGCAGGGAAGTACAGAAGAGCAAGCCGGGAGCAGCACTGCAGCTTTTAGACAAATAAACACCCGCAGTCGGTCTGGATTCTGCTCTGACAACAGTTAACTGCTTTTACTAAATTAGCTTTTTACTTTAGTGTTCGGAATTACAACGTTGATTTATCTTCACTCGAGCTTCTCTGCAGCTAGCTTCCGTGCACATCCAGTTCCACTGTTGTTGTTAGCGTCGGTTAGCATCCACAGTTCTGCTGGACTACGACTTCATATTTATATAAAAACCGAACAAAACTGGACATTACTTGGAGAAAAGAAAGCGAGGAAGTTGAGCTACCTGGTGAGTTCAGAAAATATGTGTCTGTTTCATTATTACAGCTATTGTTGTACTTTACCGTGAACAAGTTAGCATAGCCCCGATCGATCCGAACTCCATTCAGAAAACAAACATTTTAGAAGTTGTTGTCCTGCTGTCTTGCTGGCAGACCTGACAAATGTTTAACAAATCTGCATCATAATGTAGTTTTGTCTGCATCAGTTTGATCCGTTTATTACAATTAAATCACAGCAAAATGTTTACGGAGTTCATACAGCTGTAGTAATCGCAGGTTGTATTTATTCGCGTTATCGTGTTGTGTGTGTGAATACTTGGCAGTTGTCCAGTGATAAAACCCCTGCGAGGAAAGCGCCGAAGGATAAAATTTGCGTTGTATGTGAACACACAGTAAGTCCCACTATTTAGCATTTCTAAGCAGCATAAAACATTTAATAAATAGCTTATAATAGAGCTGCAACTGATAATTATTTTTATCAAACTGATTAATCTGCTGATTATTTTCTGGATTGACTGATTAATTGTTTTGTCTACAAAATGTCAGATAATTAAAAAAATTATAATTTCCAAGAGCCCAAGGGGATCTGTCCAAATTGGTTGTTTTATTCAAAACCATAGACATTCAGTGTACTCTTATATATAAAAATCATCAAATTCTCACAAATTGCTGCACAACCCACGAAGCCTTTCTAATGTGTGAACTGAGCAGTGGCCTGATTATGACGATCTTTGGCAGGGGTACAGGGAATGTACTAGTAACCTAAGACTTCAACTCTCCAGAAATATCTAATAGGCCGTGTCTGTTCCTCCTCTCCCGGGGACTCACATTCCATCTCTTGGCCCAGGTAGGAGCACCAGCGGTTCCTCATGTCCTCCACCGCCAGCATGTCCCTCTCAGTGTCGTGGATCAGGAGCAGAGGGATGCAGGGCACCACCAGCTCGTTCATGATGCCTAGGCCCGTGGTCACCTCCGGCTCTTCTCCTGACTCAAACATGGCAGCCGCTTGCTCGTTTAATTTCTATTGGGGGGGTGGACACACTGATGAATACATAACATTATATGTGTTGCTAAAACAATTCTCTAATACATTCATTCCTTGTACATCTGATATAGCCCTGAGCAGCACCCCAGACAAAACTGAAACAACTGAGCCCATACTGACCTAGTTAATATAAAAAGTTAATATTAATAGATGTTCTAACTCCTACTACTGTTCTTCGTCTTACTTCAATTTGGGAGAATGTCATAGTAACTTTTGGATCTACAGTTCCCAAATTTAGGGGTTTTGGTGGATGCAAGCAAGAAGTAAAATGTTGCCACAGAGTCATTAGTTAGCTGTGGGCTTGGAACTGATTTAGTCAATACTGGCACCATTGAAAGTATGCCCAATTAGCTATCAGCAGCTCCTGTTTGCAATGAATGTACAGACAACTATCACTGGATCACTGTGATACTTAAACTTAATGATTCTCAGGCAAGTTCTGCAGTTTAAAGGGGCGTCTTTTTTCAGAGATTTCTAAGCTGATTTATGACAGTTATTCATGGAGGTAGTATCCTCAGAAAGTGTAAGTGTAGAGTTCTGACTCAAAGGAGGAGTACGTATTTTGGTTTTTGAAGTACCTTAGCCTGCCTCCAATGAGCTGTAACACAGCCGCCGCCGCCTGCTCCGACTGCTGATGTGTTTATTAACGGGCCAAATCAGCAGCCAAACAACAATAACTAACCTTCAGTTGTTTTTGGAACTCTGGCATGCACCTGTCTCTTTCACCTCTCACAGTCTCTTTGCCTCACATCTGGTGATCCACATTCCCCCGTCAACTCTCCTGCTCCCCCCCTGGGGAGGCCCCTCACAGTTTGAAAAACTCTGCTGTTGACTCAAGCATTGGGATGAAAGGCCAAGTTGTCCTCATGGCTTTTAGACAGCAGAATGTCTTGGCCAAGAAGAGGAAGATTACTAATTACTCTTAATTCTGGGAAATAACTGTCAAATAACATGCATTGCTGACTCTGCTTTGCTTTTTTTTTTTTTTTTTTATATATTTGTGTTATCTAATGTTGTTGTTTTTCCTCCAAACAAATGTTCTTGAGTGTCTACATTTTTACTGTGTCATCCATTTCAGCGTTCGTTATGTTCTTTTCAGGGAAGTTTTCCATTTCTTCCAATAGATAAGTGCTGCAAAGTAATCCCACATACATCTTTATTTTCACAGAATATTCTAGAGCCAGTGGAACTGAAGTGGGTCCAGCCTTGCTAGCATTCATGTGGATACAAGCTTTTCTTCCTGTTCTTGGCCAAAACCACCTTGCTGTCACAGAAACTCACTGACCTCATCTCTGAGGAAACGACACGTTTTTTTGCAAGCCAGTTTGGAATAGGGGGACTGCAAGGCTGGATTTGCAAAACATCCAACTACATTTACTGTGTCAATGTTAGCAGTGTTTTCAATTAAAACAAGAGCTGAAGGTAAACAGCTGAGCGGACGCAGCCAGAGGTTCTGGCCAGAGATCTAAGATGACCGATCAGGCTGTGCAGAGCTGAGGTTTGAGGTTAGCTGAGGACATGCTTGTGTCTCATGGTAATGTGTTTACACTCGCTGGCCCTCCTGCTTCCTATTCCCACTCCAATGATTACATTATGAGCACAATGCTGGTGTAAGGTTACTGAGTGCAGCAGCGAGAGGGCTGCTAAAGACCAGTACGAAGCTGATCAGACCAAAATACCCTCAGTCCTAACCAATAATACCAGAGCGCAGCCTGGAACTTGGTGGGGGTGAAATGAAAAGGGGCTCACATCACAACTCTGAAAGGATTTTCATCTGTCAGTATCAGATGAAAAACCTTCAGCAGAATCTTTTGTGGGCTGCAAGCGAGCCAAAGCAATATCTCCGCAAAAGCAATTTGATTATAGTACCACAGCTCGGTATTGAAGGGGAAATGTCTGGCCATGTTAGTTTTGCTGAGTCACTTTAGCAGACAAAGTTTGATACAGAGGAAAGTGAGTGACAAAGAAGGGATGGTCCGATCACAACAAAAGACCTCCTGCATTCTAAACCTGACCCTGTACAGAGCTATAGCCCTCTTTGTAATCACTGTTAAATGTGACATACAAGTAATAAAAATTTCCACTCATTTCAACAGAGAACTGACAGGTTGTTAGAAATGAATCCCTGTGTTACTGCATGCACTGCCTCACCAGCAAACACTCTCGACGGTAATGGCCAAGCAGCTCCTCGTCGTGCCCTCGGTACAGCCCTTTTGACAAAAGCTCCTTGTTGTACTGGTACGAGTAAATCAGATACATCAGAGCCTCCACATAACTGGGGAGAAAGAGATATCCAGATGTTCAGATAAAATAGCTTCAAAGCTGGCCTCAAAGCTTAGAGGAACCCATTTCAAAGGTGAAATAAACTTGATGAACCCACGGCACAACTATAAAGCTGGGAGCTACACAGATTGTAAGTTGCTGCCCTCTGCAGGGGACGTTTCCACATTTACTGGCTGCTACAGATGGGAATTTAACAAAAAATAATGTGCTACATTAAACTCGTATGAGTTAAAGCTCTTACAAGATAGTTGCAGACTGAGTTAAATGTTTCCACTATTAGATATTGGGAGGAGCCCTGGAAAGGTGTCACCATACTTGGTCTTCTGAAAGAGCTCCAAGCCCGTCATCATTAAGATGGTTGTCTCGCGGAAATTCCTGTAGGCTTGATGCCACATCTGATTAAGATAAACAGAAGTTAATACAGAATTTCACTGAAATTCAAATCCAATATTAAAATTAGCATTGACAAGCAAATACTAGCATTTGTAATGATTAACTATGTTACAGCAAAGGCTATAAAGACAATCTATGATGCTGCATTACAGGCTGTATAGAAGGACTGAAATCTGCTATTTAAGATAAATAAAACCCAGAAAACACCACTGCTGACCTCATATTCATCCATGTTGACCTCCTCAGGCTTAATTAGGTCCAGTTTGGCACGTGCAACGTTCATAATGCTCTTACATCTGTGGGGGAGGTGGGGGGACAGGAAGGGGAACCTGCGTTAGCGATGAGTCACAGCGAGGTACTCCAGGAGATGAAACAGTCCACTCTGCCCCTAGGCCTTAACGTGGCCTAATGAATCACTCTTTAGTGCTGAGAGGAGAAGTGAAACACTCCTCCGGAGGCTCCTATTGAGGCCACATGCACACATAAATCTAATTATCTTGCTCAAAATAGAGGAGAGAGGAAAAATCAATTTTTCACTCATGAATATGGATTGAGGCCAACAAGCGTAGTCAAAAAGTTTTAAGAGATAGTAATGGGCGTTACGTACCCTAATGACATGTGCGTCACAATGTTAATGGGGAGGGAATCTTCATATTTGCAGCAGTATTAAAAAAGCCATTATTACACATGCGTCTCCTAAGATTTGTGTTTGATTCAAAGACTGAGGAAATTTGCAGCATAAAAGCATTGTCCAGATGAGACACTGTCGGTCTGTGCTGACAGTAAACCTGCGTGTCCTGTATGCCCGAGTCAAGGTCTCTGCTACCCTCTGCTGGTCATTTTGAGAAGGTGGGTTTATGTAAATTATAGAATGTAATCCTTTAAGGGACTACATTTAAAACAACCATAAAAAAAGAGAGAACAGAAGGTACTTTATTGTACACCAGATTTTTGTTGTGGCAGTGAGTAGTCTAACCTACCTCTCATCGAAGGCCAGGTTCCTGTCAGCAAACTGTGTGAGCAGAGTCCTCTCCAAGATCTTCTTGGGTGCCTGGTTTTGGATGAAGTAGACGATGATGTGCTGTAGTCGGTAGTCATTCTCAGGAGGAGTGTCCTCTTGGGCAAATCTCAGGAGACGAGCATACTCCAGCTTTATGGCCTGATCAGAGACAAAAAGAAGTGACCAGTCATGGTTAAACGCTCTGACTAAAGGTTGAGGTTGTATGGACATGGATACTGTTCCTTATTCAGGTCCTCTTCAGCCAAGAACTTAAAAGGTAACCACATAGGATTTTACTTTACAATTAAATAAATTTCAATTGTTCAGATTATGAACTTCTAGACAGATAACTTCGAGCTGGCTTACAAAGTCACAACGCACTTGCAATTTTAGGCTCATACTTCTTCAAAACATACACATGGTTACATTTAAATATTTTCTGTAAAATGCTCGGCTTTATGTTGAATAGTATTCATTTTGTTGCTTTGCATGTTTTTCATGTGCACAATGTCTTTGCCATTAGTAAAGTTTGATGCTATTCCAATGTTTTGGGGTTGGTTCTCAGCTGCCCGTCTGCTAGTTAAATTGCCCCTCAAGCCGTCTTTTGAAAATGGTTAACCGTTGAAAACTTTCATTAGAAATTTAGAAAAGAATTAAAAAAGTTATTAAATGTAATACATTACATTACTTTTACCTTTTAAATGGCGGAACTTGTTATTGGTAACCTATTCCTATATTCCATTTCTAAAGTAACCTTCCCAACACTCTCTTCATACAATATCAATATCATATCAAATACTTTAGCTGGGGACACACATACGCTCACTCTCTTTAACTCTCTTTCTCACTCTCTCTGAAGTGGAAAACTTATGCACTTAAACAGGATTATTATGGAGGTAATCTATATATGAAAATCTTTCCCAATACATTCTTGGATACTGTGAGATCCTTATTTGCATCTCGAATTTTCCCCTTAGAAATTCATCTCTATTTTGCTTCACTATTCATTGGCCCTATTGAGAAGCGACACAGAAAACTTTTTAGCTCAGCTTACATTTTTGACTGCTTTATTTCTTGAGAGAGAGGCTCAAGTGCTCAGTTTAAAGGGATGGGCTACAAGCATTGGATAACTTAATTCCCAGAAGGTTTTAAACAAGATGATTTTGGCAACAATATAAGTGCTGACAGGATTTGGCTCATTTCAATAATCTAATGTTCTGCCCAGAAAGTTCAGCGGTTCAGAGCTGAGCACCAGTGCAGCACAAGTCTGAATAGGGGAGAGCGGGGTGATTTGAGCCTGCGGGGAAGTTGAGCCAGCCCTTGTTTCTCGGCAGCCATAGACAAAATTGATCATGTGACCACACATTTTTTGAAGAGTCATCTATTTTACACAACCTGTGATGGAGAGAGGCCCATGGAATATGTGATAAGCACATTTAAGATCAAAAAACTGTTTTTTGCCGTTCAAAGTCATTTTTACATTTTATGTTCAAGGAGTCCTGATTCTTGTGTCTGAACAATTACAGGTTACAGGTTTGAGAAAATGTGTTAGTGCTTTAGGAAGTTACAATATGAGGCTATACTGTTACCCTTAAACTGCTGGATGACACAATTTGGTTAAAATGGCAGGGATGGGATAATTTGAGTGAGCTATTTTACTGTAATTTTACATTGCATTCTTATGCATCACCGAAATGATGTGACATTATGCATTTTAGACCAGAAACCATCATGACAGACACGCTTCAACTCCTATTGTGGGAATGGACAGAGTAGTGGGAGAGGTACAAAAATTCATCAGGTGGCACAGGACATGATAGTGTTTGAGTTTGCATGTCCCCAATGAACATGTGGCTCAACTTAACCCTCATATGGGGCAAACTGAGCCAAGAGTCCTTTTTTTTTTTGGAAATCCATATTTTGATAACAGTTTATTTTAGAATCAAATTGATCGTTCTCAGGGATGCACCACATCCTAAAATGTCCTCACTTTAAAGACACCTGGCTCAACTCACCCCCACTCTTCCCTACAGATAATATGTGAGGTTTGAGTTACTCTGTTGAGTTACATTGTCACTGCAATAGTTACTGCACTGTGTTTCTATCTTTCTATCTGCACTGTAAGAAAGTACAAGAAGAAGACCAAGAAATGGATACACATGAAAGAGCAGGTGGAATGAGTGTGAAATGAGGAAAGGTAAAGGAGAGATGGTGTGTACCTTAAAAAAGGCTGCCTCAGGCCCATTCTTTTCATATACGCTGCTGGATTTGCCAATGGCCATAATTATACCCTGCATGTTGGGGGTCATCATTGCCTGCCCAGGAAGCAGGAACCATGTTAAACAAAATAGGTCCTTGTGACAAACCGAGCAAGGTCAACCGCTATGTTATGTGCTCTGAGGCACTACAGTAAAGCATACCACAGTAGGGGCATGCCAGACATCACTCAGCAGTCCATGCATTGGTTAGAGTGACACAACATTGAGGGACACAGCCAGTCAGTTCAACGGCACAATGCGCAATCCTCACAAGGATAATGTGTGACAACCAAGGCAGCCATATGACAGCTGTGTGTGGGACAGATAGCTAACAGAGCAGGAGACAGGCTGAACTGCTGACAGCAGCAGACAATTCTACACTCAGAACATACTGACCCACAACTACAGATGAGATCAAGCCAACCGAAAGAAAGGGGAACTATGATTCCATCATCACTGCATGAAATCAATGCAAACTAACATAAACATCCTTGCATTTGGTTTTATTTATACAGGCGAACACTAAGCTTTCTGCAAAAGGTCAATCTGCCTTTGTGCCAAGATGCAGACCGGCTCAAGAAGAGACTTTTCACACAAGAGTAATGCAGGAAGGCCAATAAAGGGGTCAGTCTTATTGTGCAGCATTTTCAGACTCAAACCAATCCTGTAATCCGTTAACATAAAGTGTCAGATTTTCTCAGGTGTGAAAAAGCTTATGCAGAGCCATGTGAAGGAGCGATGATGCTCTCAGTCCATACATCAAACAGGCACAGACTTCTAAAGCACAAAAAGAGAGAACACTTGTCTGGGCGAAAGCTACCTCGTCATCATACCCCCCCTCTTCTGACTCAATAACAAAGGTCCCCACGTTAGGAATGGCCACCTCTACTGTGTGCTGGCCAAGGGACTCATCCTCGATGACGAGGTCAGGAGGAGGGGTGGACGGGGTGCTCACCTGGATCTCAGGCTGAGGGGAGGTGGGAGGGGGAAGAGACTGCAGAGAGAATGGGACAGATGAAACAGGAAGGACAGGGCACTGATGGAAAGGCAAGGAACATTAAATGTAGAGGAATGAAATACAGTGAAAACTCCAGCTATGCTTGTAGTATACACAACAACTGTATTGTCAGACCAACATGTTTCCGCTTGTGGCTTTCATCAAGGTCATCCAAAAATAGTACTTATCAAAAAAAAAAATTTCAGAACACTACAACATGTAATGTGGGTTTCCCAAAAGACTGATACACTCTCAGTGACTTTTTAAAACTGGACTTGACAGATCAAATAACTTTCAGTCCTTGTTTGGACAGACTGGACACAATTATTAGACATGGTGTTGGAATCTTGATTAAAGGATAGGTTCCCATTTATTCAAGCATGTCTTAAAACAACACTCTCATGCCCATATGTAATGAAACATTTTTTGTAGTTGTAATAAACTCAAAGGAGAGGGAAAAGGCAAAATACATAATACCACCTCTTGAAATGCTTCTCTGGTGCATTTACACTTGTACTGTCATGAGGTCAACCACTATCCGATTGCAATCCGATCACCCAAAACACATTTTATTGTCAGGTGTGTAAAGTATGTATGTGGGGAACGAGCCATAGTTCTCCTGTGCAAAAATGTGTTCTAAACTTCAGCTGAGGCTTACAAGAGCCTTCAGCAGCAGTTAGTCAAATAAGTATTTTATAAAGGTTTAGTATTTTAGTAAAAAATCCTGTCTTTGTGTTACTATCCCTCACAGCAGCTCAGCATATTTCACATATTGAATATAGCAGCTTTAAAAAGCTCTTCTACTGACACTTAAATGTTCCATTTCATGAGCCTAGTATGACACATTTAATAAATAAAATAGGATCCTGAGCAAACAATTACTTCTAATAGTATTCTCAGAGTTGACTTACTCAAGGGGAAAAGAGAACTATGGATGACATGAAAGACCAAATAAAAAGGCAGGTGGATACACTTCAGTTTGTTGATTAATCGTCAGAAACCAACATGTAAGCCAGGAGGCACATGCTGGGTGACGATGACTTGGTGCTGAATGTGGCGTACTGTGTGTATTTTCATGTTTTACATACCGCATTTAACAATGCTTCGGGGCTTCTCTCCTCCTGTTCCGCAGCAGCCCTGGAGATGGCCCTCTCTGTGTCCTCCTGCAGATGCTTGGAGTCATTTGTGGGTGATGGCTGCTCCATGTACTCTGGGTCCTGCTGGGGTACTGAAGGAAGGCAACGACATCATCAGAGAAATGTAAAAATGCATTTTTTTTATGTTTCTACAACACAAATGCCAAAACTGCTGTCCATCGTAAAACGAAACTTATGTCGCCTCAGCAACAGCATGACAGCAGCTGAATAAAAAGCAGCCGGTGTTCAGCCAGCAGACCACAGACAAGGTAACAGTAACGGCAACTTTAGCATTTAACTGAAATGATTGTTGAGTTAAAGCCAAAGTAAGCTGCAGTCCTCAGCTGAAAATGTACACGTGCGTTTGTTGTTCTCCTTTTTAGGCCGTGAGTTGGAACCTCACAGTCACGAGTTAACTGGGTTTCGGCCGCCACTGCCCCCAAGCTAGAGTACTTCTTAAACGACGCATTGATGAATCGTTGAAATAATCTATCGAAGCTTCGAATACTAAAATCATCGCAGCCCTACAACCTAGTAACAAATACCTTTCAGTGCCTAATTTTAGCCAATCAACATACTGTGTGTTCACCATAATCCAGTAGAAATACATCAATACAATACAGTGCTGTGGGCTGAATGATGAACCTCACAGCTGACTTTTATACAGCCAGCAATTTCTAGTGATATATTGTGAATATTGTACACATTATTATACACAATAACATGTCAAAGGGAGTTAGAGTTGTAAGGCTGCATGCCAATATTTCAAGGTCATCTCCTCATTTCATCTCTGGGGAACAAGAGTTTTTCTGTATTTATCTTCCTACAAAGTATTGATTCTCAATTAAGTATTCTACTCTGTGTTCTGAGTGCCAGGACCCTGACCTGTGTTGTCTGGAGGGCTGGACTCAGTACTCATGGGCTGAGGGGAAGAGGAAGAAGTAGGGGTGCTGGATGCTGCCGAGGAAGCAGCGGCGGCTGCTGTGGCCAAGGCCAGCTTCTCCTGTTGGGCCTTGTGGGCTTGCAGGATGTCCCACTCTTCAATCTCCTTGTCAAACAGCTCATTGTCCTCCTTCACATACTGCTTCAGGTCCGGAGGCAGTTTGTCCATGCCACTGAGAATCTGTCCCGTTTCTTTATCAAACTCCTCTACACAGACAAAAGACAGAAACAATAAAAGTAATCTGGTCTGCTAAAAATCTCTTCTAAAACATGTGTTCTTTTAAGAGTAAGTAATAATATTATAATTTTATATTATAATATTATAACTTTTGTCATCACTCCCTCAACATAAATTGAAGAAGACTCAAACCCAGCCCGGGGTTCTTGTCACAGTTTGTCAACAGCAGGCCTGAGCTGGCTGAAACACTACAAATAGTTTTCTCCAAACAGGAGAAATGGCAATACAAACCCAGTGGAACCAACTCACTACTTTGATTTAACAGAGCCAAAAGATAATAGAACATTGGACATAACTGCTATTTTATTCTACTGTTAAATTAATTAGAAGCAACAGTAATGCAGTGTGGTTACTAGGGGTTTAACGCACAGCTAGTATCTGTTTATGTCACAGAAATAATATCTGTATTCATATCTGCATTTGGATTTATACCAGAAGCGGGCAGGGTTTACAAAGCAAGTAGCAAGTGATGTAGAAAGAGTCAGAAATCCGGCAATAAAAGGTTAACCAAGAAATGCTTTTCATATGATGATAGTAAACATTTCCCCCATGACTGAATCAGTCCTTCACCCGACAAATAAATAGCAGATGTTTTTTTTTTGGCCTGTAACTGTAGCTTCAATAAGTGTTTTTGAGAAAAATGATGAGTGAATACACAATTAACACAACTGTGCATCAAAGATACATTTGAACCCTACTAGTGGTTCAACTTTGGTCCATGCGTACCTTCTATGAGAAAGGGCTTCTTGTCGTTAATATACATGAGACAGTAGGCACTGGCATTGCGGTAGCCTCCGAACGAGTCCCTGACCAGCTCCTCCCAGGACGACTTGGTGACAGAGATGTCGTTGTACTTCATCCAGCAACGCTGATGTGGGTCGTAGATGTAAGCCCAGTAGTGGCCCGCATTGGCCTGGCCTTCATGGACCAGCACCGCATGAAGCCGGTATGGAACCTGGAACAACACAAAGGAGAAACAAAAGGCTGATTAGTAAACGGAGCAGTTGATGTATGTCTTTTTGTATAGCAAATATAACGGATTACAGAAAAGTGCTGCTCACCTGCATCATAGATTTGTCAGAGTACATTAGATCAATGGTTCTGTGGATTCTGGTTATACTGCCCTGCAGATCTGGTGGGAAGAACACCATATAGATGTGTCAGTAAGTGCCAATTTCATGTTTCCTTTTGCAATATTACAGTAAAAGCAATGGACAAGTTAATGACGCTGAAGGATCCACAACAGAGACAAGCATAAAGGGCTGTAAATGGGAGGCAGGTAGACCTACCACGGGTGTCATTTTCCACTTCACTCCTCCAGCGATGCAAGCAGCCCTCGAGCACACTCAGCTCTTCTTCAGTGATGTGGCGCGGGGCAGGGTGCATGGGGAGGTCGGGAGGTAGTCGGGACTGCGTGAAGGGCTTATGAATGGGTACTCTCTGCTGCTGGGCTGCAGCCAGAGCTGTAGTGGGACCTGAGGCCGGGCCTGAGCTCTCTAGGGGAGGCAAGGAGTCCTGCTCGGCTGTGCTGGAAGGTGAGAGACACAGTTTATAAAATGAAACTGTCCAATATTCCAATACCAGCCTTTCTGCAGTTACAAAAAATACAACAACAATGAAAATAGAAATCCTATTAAGGCTAGGTGGGTCAAAGCAGATACCACCTCAAGAAATGTTGACAGTGCCAGCGAGGTCAGCTAAGGGCAGTGTGGCCACAGCATGGGCTCTGATAAAGGCAGCTCACAGTGCATTGTAGTTTATACAGTATGTATTACACAGGATGGGTCTGCCCTCAGGTTACGATATGATAAAAATGTAATTGAAATTGAATTGTGCAAATCGTTTTTCCACTGCTTGTTGCAGAATCATTATTTTAACAATGAAATAGATAAAGAAGACTAAGATACCATTAGCCATGCTAGCAGCTGTGGTATGTAGTGCTTTGAGCTACTTGCTACCATCTTCACAATGACAATGCTGTGTAATATCTTTATCATCTTCATTTACCATGTCACCAAATTAACATTTGCTAAACGTAGCACTAAAAACAGAAAGTTTTAGCTGAGGCTGATGGGAATTGCATTACTTTTGCAGGTATTTTGGTCATTAACTGAAGTGATGGACAGATGAAAACAAAGACCAGTTTTCTCAAACAACATTCCTTCAATGTCTTCATCTGAATTATTTTGGGGTTTAAATTGGCTAACACTACAATGTATCAAATAACAATGTGAAAACAATGGTACACTGTTAAATCGGTCACTTGCAGTGATGGGCCCACAAATAATTAGCAGCTGTCCTCAGCTTTACAGAGCTTTACAGAGAGTTTCATCTCATTGTTTAGCTGTCTGGCCCGTAAATACTGTTATAGTGCAGTTTTCAGCCAAACAGGCCAGCTGTTTTCAGGGAGAAAAAAAAAAAAAACTCTAAATCCCCATGGTACACTACTTGCTCAGCACCAAACAGCAGACAGACACATACTGGAGCATTTAACAGCTAAAGAGCTGGACTAATGTTCGCCAGTTAGCCAAAACATTTTCTCCAAATAAATGCTAATTTTAATCCGCACTAATTTTGTTAACTGTCTGCTAATTAATTTTCCATCTCAATTTAAAAAGTGATGATATGTTAATGCTGTGTTCACAACATGTTTCAGCTGCCTCCAAGTGGCCAAAGAACATCACACAATCATGACTTGCCAATTTATTAACATGTGTTTGGAAAATGCTCTCACTGCGACAGCTGATTCAGGGTCTTTATGCAGGTTGCTGTTCAGGTGAACATTCTCCATTATAACAACTGACAGCATAACATTCCCTGTAGTGTATGTTCTTATAATCTTTGTAAACCGTGTTGTCAAAATGACCAGGCAAGGTGAACAGGCAGCATTCACCAATTCAACAAGCAATTTATGGGAAATCTGTGCAGTTGAGAAGGTTGGCAGAATTTGACCTGGAACACTTGTATGAGCTACCATCATGAGTAAGAGGGGTTTCAGATACAAAAATGTTACTGCAGTAACTCCCTTTGATACTTTTCTTTTTATTTGGCCCTGTTTGCACTCCCTTTATTTATCTCTCTCATCTTCTCATGCTTCCTGAAACTGGATGGAAAAGAGGAAAAGCAATGACAACAATCAAACAGCAGGCTGTCTGTTATAAAAAATTGCCTTAGTGGGGGCGGCTGTTGTCCTGTTGTGCCACCGGGGGGCGCTGATGAGTCAATGTCTTCCACTGGGGACGTGCACACTGGCTTACTTGAGGCAAACTCCATGGCGTACTGGAGGACATCTGCCAGAGGAAACCTCTTGGGGCCTGAGCCATAACTCAGATACCTGGGAGAGAACAGAGAGAAAGAGTGAGTGTCGAAGAGATGCAGGGAAGCAAAGGGAGAGAGAAGTAAGAGTAGAGGGGACGGTCAGATTGAAATATTATTCTCCATGGCTGTCTAGAGAGCTTTGTTGACCTTGGCTAAATAAACAGGTATTGTAAGTTTTACCTCTCCAGTCGCTGTTGAAGCAGTGTCAGATGCTCTTTCAGCCTCCTGATCTCCTCCCTTTTGATCCTGGTTATTTCCCTGTTCCTGTCCATGTACCTAACAAAACAATGACCACAGCAACAGATTCAGTCCTAAAGAGACTTGGTATTAATGGTTACTTGCTTGACGAATACCATGGTAATATTTCTATTACCTGTCCATGTACAGCATAGAGGGGAACTCAAGCTTGTTGTGGATCTTCTCAGGTCGTCCCAGTGCTTGGTTAAATTCAAATCTTGACAGTTCAAAGGTCAACACAGGAGGGAGTTCTGTGAACCAGTGCTGTAAGACAATTGGATGTTGATCTTGAGATAAATTCCCATATCATGTTAGAATACAGATATTGACAAAAAAAACATTTCCCCTTTACAGTTTCTTCAACATTCGCCTGTCACAGATCTCTATAACAATATTTATTTTTCAATATCCCCATCTGGGACAAAATATTTTATTGCTGCTGATTTGACCTGCATCCCAACATGGTAATGCATAACAATTGTGAAAATCAAACCTTCCATTACACGAGTCATTGTCATAACATTAAAAAGACCATTTGCGGTTTAAAAGCCCATTCTGAAATCTCTTTGTTTAGATGAAAGTTTTCCTTTTTTGATGGACATTTTGCCTTAAATGGCGGTATCAACTGAGACACAAACAGGACGTGGGGGCATCCATTTACTTTATCATTTATTTCTTCATTTGGAATAAAATCTTTCTCCCCACCTCTCTTGCACTACATTGACATTACATTTCTTTTTAGGGGCACTAGAGGAAAATTAAGGGGCAATAACATTTTTAAGAAAACATTAATTCTCTTTTTATCAACATACAGCATGCATAAAACACAGGGGCAAACTGACTGAGATAACTTTAGAATTTTTAAATATAAGATGTGCTTCGACAGAGATGTATTGTGCTTCCTGAATGCATACCTTTTAACGACAGAGTGGTTGGGGTTTTAGCATTTTATTTGGTCTGAATCCAGAATCTAAGTTGCTTATTTAATCTGAAGCCTTTCAAGGCTCTCTCTCTCTGAATTATTATACTATTGATAGTTGATAAAAAATAAAATTAAATTAAAAAAAAGGTACCGTAAAACTCTGAATAATAGCCGGGCTTTTATTTGCTAAAATCGCTGAATTGACCCTGCCTTTATTTGGGACAGGTCTTTAATTCTTTTTGCACAAAACTGAAACTACTATGAAACAGTTTATTTATTTCAAACAGAATAATACTTATGTAGACAGACTAAAGGAATATATAAATAATCAAGGAACGGACACATTCGGACTTCACGAGCGCTTCAAAGTTAACGTGAGTCAGCACTTCCTTTTCCTCTCTTGTAGCCATGCAGGTTACACTGGTAAATCTAGAAGAATTAGACTTTGGGTATTGTTTCCAATAAATTAACAACAGTGGTATTGTGGAGAATCTAACCAATCTAATGATATTCAGCATGTCCATACTGACATATTGATCATACATTTAAACATTAATATTTATATTAACCATCTAAGCAGCTCAGAAGCAGCTAAAGCAGGCGATCGCGCGGGGTTTAAGAGGTTTTATACATCCAAAGAACTTCTATAAAAACCAGACCAGGCGTTTAATTAAGGCAGGCCGTTTATTTGTCAAAATGTGTGCCAGTAAAGGAGGTAGGCGGCTATTTGGGACTCAGCCATTAACTGAAGTTTTACGGTAAATTAAAAAAAAATAATCAAGTTAAAAATCAATAGTAGGGATACAGTGAATGTTCGGCCACTAAAATTAATTGGCAGAAAAAAGCAAAATAAAGCACTTTGTTGTTTGACCAGTCAAAAGACTGAATAAATTTTACTGAACAATTACGTTGACATTTCGGCAGTGTGGAAGCACTTTAAAGTGTCCAAGAAAGACGCAAAAAATCGCCATTTGCAGACGCTGTTCTGCTGAACTGTCTCCTAGCACATCCACTCCATCTGTGGCTGACTTCTTTAGAAAAAAACACTTTGAGTGTTTCTGTCACTCGTTTGTAAGAAGGCGATTAAGCTAGCTGCACCTAAATTTGGAGTGCAAACGTATTCAAGCCTTTATGGTAAATCCACTAAAACGGCCCAGAGTGAGCCGACAGGCAGGTCAGCGACTCCTGTCAGTTTCTCTCTTTACAAAGACAAGTGTTGCTGTGTGAGAGTCCTACCTGAAGAGAGGCTATGAAGTCTTCATGTTACATGATACGAGAAGCACATACAACATTATTTATCAAATTGAGTCGGATTGATGAATATAGTGCGAGTATACCATAGACTGTATATAAAAAGGAGTATACAAATGTGACAATGTCTGGTTTTCAAAGTAAGGTGTCTATAAAGTATGGAAATAGGATTAATTGGATTGGCAGATTTTGCCTGCGTACACTCTAATTTCCTTTACTTCACCTGAATTCATTTTCTTCTCTGCAGTCTCTGCTTTATTGTCCACTCCGTGTTTATGTGGGGTGAAGGAGTCAGCTCTGTATATCATCTCAAATGAAAGAAGCCCATTGTGATGTCATCCTCCAACTCATTTTGTGATTTCACCCTTACCACCTCTGCTAACCATTTTTGTGTATTCCTACATGATAT